TTGGCAATACCAAATCACAATCATTTCCCAAATTCCTTGTCTTCTAGATTTCCTTATTGTGCTGGTATACAGGAGTAATACCACCTCGGTGAGCACCCAGTTCTCCCCAATGTTTAATGGTTTACACAATGGCTTCTGGCCCATGGCTGAAAGCCTCAGGCCCAGCGCCTTTTGGCTAGCACCTCAAGCCAAGCTTAAGGGCCTGTTTGTGTGGATGAAGCAGACTTTGACTAGCCATCAGGCCTTCCCTGTCCCGGCCATTTCCCCAAGGGCTACTGGCATTGCTTTGAGGACTGGCTTCTGGGTGGGAGGGGGAAGATTTGGGGGCTAGCTGGCTGGAAATCATTTGGGCTTGGCTTGATAACAAGTGAAGCTGTTTCACAGCATTTTGGGAAATTTCCCAATGTTCATTGGTCTATTCATTCTGAGCTATCACCATTTGAACTAGGCCAGGAGATTCTGCTAATCCTTGGCCATCTCTAATCCATCGGGCCACTCGGATCAAGTTTGGGTTCCTAAGATGGGAGAGGCTGCCAAATACAGTCGGCTGTTGCTAATCTGGGGATGGGGAAGACAATTCCTGTACTCCTGATGTGTGTACTCCAAAAGGAAGTCACATTGTCTCTAAATCAGCTGGAAATTGATCCTACATTTTGAGGCCATGCAACACTCTCTCTGTATCTCTCCCCGCCCCCCAATCTTGCTGCACAACAGGCAAATCTCTAGTATGTTCTAGGCTGCATGAATGTGACCTGATAGATTATTTTGTTTCTTGGTTAACCATGTTGTGTGAGATGAAAAAAGAAGTCCTGAAAGCAGTGACCTGAAATAAAAAACTTAGACCTCTGGTGGCAAAATTACACCCCAGTGCACTTTTCATTGCAAAATTTCTACAGAACTCTGTGAATAAAAATAAAGAAGTGCCCAGGACAAAAGCAGATATCCCAAGGAAGCCAGCTGAATTTGGCACATGAAGTATCCCCCTCCCCCATTTTTTTGTCCTGGCCGACACTGACTTGTTAAGATAAAAAAAGAGAGTCCAATCAAAATAGATCTATTGCCACAGATTGATCTATTGCTGCAAAAAGAGCCTTGGACAAAACAAAACAAAACAAAACAAAACAAAACAAAACAAAACAAAACAAAACAGTCATACAAAACATGAAATCTCTTCTTTTGCCCCAGATGATATTAGCATACTGAGATAAAAATATATAAATGTAGCCCCTGGCTTTTTGAAACAAAAAACAACCAGATCCAGGAAAGCAAACTTAAGCCCCTTCTTCTAGCACAACACACATTGCATTTCTCTGGGACAGTTAAAAACCCAAAGATAAATTGGATTTTGCTTTGGGTACAAAAATGTCGTCCCCCCCACCATTTGTGCTATGCTCCCCTCCCGGGAGGGGGGGGGGCTGGGTTATGAAGAACCAAATTCAAAGAAGTGAACCACTAACTGCTCATTGCCAATGAAGCCTTGGGGCTCATTTGTCTTTACATCAGTAATCTATCAGGACAGATGGGGATATGGTATAGAAGCAAAGGGGATTTTCACAAGTGGTTTGAGATTTATTTATTTTTTACTTATTTTGACCCCTTACATCACCTCTTAATAAAGAATTGTTCATGGGTATTAAACTAATTATTCAGTGCTCAGAGATTCCAGATTCTTTGTTGAAAACTTTTTATTCCGATAACCATGTAAATTAAGCAAAGCGAGCAAATTTGCACCATGCCATTTGGTTTGCCTAATTCAATCTGGCTTTGCTAATCATAAGGAGGAGAAATGGGCCGTGAACATTACTGGAGGCCCTGCCTGTCACTGGAATTACTATGCAGTGACATCTCTGGCTTGTGAGGTCTCACCAGGCATCTGCGAAGCACTTGAAGCACAGCTCTGAGGGCTAGGAACTTACATTCCATTTAAAATGAAAGCTGTAATTCCGAGGAAGATTCTGCATCCAAAGCCACAACTTTGTGTTTGATCCCCACTCACTTGCCTTTCCTCTAATAACGCCCCCCCCCCCCCGGAATAATGGCAAACACATGTGCCTGGTTTTGGCTTCAATAATTAGAAGTTAAGAAACAAAGCCACAGGGGTGAGATTTCACAAGCACAGAGAATACAGCACAGTACATTTAAATCCTGCTCCTATTGACATGCCATTGTGAGGAGAAACTGAAGGCTCGTTCCTAAGTAAAAATAGTCCTTTGAAAGCTTATGCTGCTGCATTAACAGTCTTTCAATGTAGCGTTTGTCTGCAAACTTTGCTGCTGCTGCTTCAGCTTTCCTAAAAGGATATAGTTTACTCTGGAGTTGGATGTCAACCAATCCGAACCTACCATGTAACTCCAGGAAAAGACTGATTTTCTGCATTAAGCACATTCAGATGTACTGTATTGGAAACAATGATGCTTGTAGGTGCCTGGAAATCTGCACTGCAGTTACCATAAAGCACTTTGTATTCAACAAGAGGCATAGTTGTTGACTGAGACTGCTTTTGAATTGTTGTGGCATGTTCCACAAGCCTGTTTGCTAATTGTGGGCTGCTTTGCACTCATCAGTTGCCCTGCCTTGTTCACCAAAATGTTTGAAACGAGGCTCAAATGAAGAATTTATGGACAGTGCTGGTGGATCAAATTTCAGGGCTGCTGGTCAAGAAAAAAAAGCAAGTTTTATTTTTAGAAATATTTTTCCCTATCATACCATATGTAAATAAAGGATTTCCTGACAGAGTCTACTGGTTGCCCACCCACTCTTCCTTCTGGAGAGATGAAAAGATGTCAAAATAAAGGTAAACATCAGCCAACCTGTTAAGCTATGCTGGCAAAACGACAGTTCCGCAATCCTTTTATTTTCCCAGTGTGCATCTACAGTTGCATCTATAATTTTTTGCAAAAAGTCAGTAGTATTAATACAACAGATAAGAATCACCAAGATGTGACCGAGGAAGAGAACTTTGGTCAACTGAAATAGTGTTTGCCCCCCGTCTCTCCTGTTCCAGGATAGGACTTGGGTGGGTGATATTTAGATGAAGTGTGTCAAAGTGCAGGCCAGACAGTAGAGGGTCAGGACCATGGAGAGCTCTCTGTGAAGCAAGATTCAGGATTAGGCTACATAGCTGGAGTGTACAAGGACCACAAGATCCACTTTGCATCTCTACCTAGCAACCCATCTATTTCAGATCTCCTGCGTGTCAATCTGATTCAATATGTTTTGTGGGTGCTGCAGTTTTGGATTTGAAATCCAAACCTCTATTTTGTTTTTATTTACTACAATGGGAAATATAAAAATGGCTGTAACTCCCCCCGCTCCCTTGTCACATAAGTGGACAAAATTTGCAGGCAATTAATTGCGTTTGTCAAAGTTCAAGTGCAGCCATCCAGGGTTTTGTGAAGGGAACCTTTCAAGTCAGTATTCTTCCCCTCTGCCAGAATTGGATGCATACTGCAGGCATGGATGCCCCATCTGAAAGGATGAAACTGGCCACATTTCAAAAACATGGATGCAGTGGTTCTCAGGCAAGTGCAGAGGTAGAAAATTTGAAATAATGTTCACTTGCCAAGCTTTTTTGGTTTTTTTTGAGGGGGGAGGGAGGGGAAATAACCAGATGGGAAACTGGAGACATGAGGGAGGCACCCCTGGGTAAGGAACCTGCCAAAGTTCTGACCCTTTAAAAAATAATAATAATGCATTTATATTCCACCTTTTCTATCTCCAAGGAGCTCAATGTGGTTTACAAGGTTCTCCCTCCATTTACTCTTCACAACAGCCCTGTGAGGTAGGTTAAGCTGAGAGGCAGTGACTGGCCCAAGGTCACCCAGGGAGCTTCATTCATGGCTAAGTAGGGATTTGAACTCTGGTCTCCCAGGTCCCAGTTCTGACCATTGCACCAGAAAACTCACATTTTTTTCCTTGCAACTCCCCCATCCTGGAAGTGCCCTCCATGAAGGAAAAAATAAAGTGAGCTATGTTTCTTAATTGTTTCTTAGGGGAAAGACTGGGAAAAAAGCAGACCCTCCCAATAATATAACTCTGCTTCTGATGCCCAGCTCTCTTAGCCAAAATGTGGAGTAGAATAATGACCCACATGAAGAATGACCCTGTTTATTCCTCCCTCAAATCACTGTGATTGGAGTGCCCTGGGAAAATAATTTATTGGAATTCAACGCTAGACCTGTCCCTAAAATGAAAGTTTCTCCTATCTCCCCTCTCCACTGCTGCCCTCTTGAACTCTGAGCATTTCCCTGTTCAGCTTGGTTTTGTTTAAAGAAAAGAAGGTCTTTAGAAAAAACAACAACAATGCAACAGAGCTACTTGGAAGGCTGTAAACTCTGTGATTTACCTCAACACACCTTGCTAATGGTGTGATCCAACTTGTGAACATGAGAGCTTGCCCCAAATCATACCCATGGAATTAGGTCAGAATTAGCTGTAAGTCTGCACAGAGTGATGGGGTGAGTGTTCAAAGTGTTCCCCTCCCTTTGGGAAATGATAACAGCCCTTCTTGAAGGATCAGAGCAGCTTTTGAAGACTAGTGCCCTTCAGACTACAATTCCCATTAGACTCAGCTGGCACAATCTGATACGCCTTTCCCCTTCCGCACAGTAAGTATTTTTCCCCTTGGGAAAGTGTGTGGGTGTGGATGTGAACTTCCACAGAGAGCAGAGGAGTAGAGGATGCTGGGATGAAGAGCTGCCTAACAGATTTTTGTTTCACTCAGATTGAATGAGTTTGGACAAGAGTGTAGTGAGGAGGAGGAGGAGGAGGAGGAGGAGGAGGAGGAGAAGAATTATTTATCACTTTGGGCAGCTCCCAACAGATTAAAAACAGTATAAAACATCAAATATTAAAAACTTCCCTAAACAGGGCTGCCTTCAGATGTCTTCTAAAAGTGAGATAGTTGTTTATTTCCTTGACAACTGATGGGAGAGCATTCCACAGGGCGGGTGCCGATGCCAAGAAGGCCCTCTGCCTGGTTCCCTCCACGATGGGGGTGGAAATGCTCCTTCAGGTATACTGCGCCTTTGAGGTCATTGAGGGCTTTAAAGGTCAGCACAAACACTTTGTTTGGAGGTTCTAGCAGGGGAGTGCAGCTATCGTATACCCTTGACCGAAGAACAGTACACTCCTTCTATCTGGGATGGTCGTCCTCTTCCACCGAGCGTGCAGCTTCGGGAGGGATGCACATGGAGCGGTGAGGGAGGAAGGGGACACCCGCCTAGCCAGCCAGATCAGCCGAATCAACCCAGGCGATCAATGGGGTGACAGATGTCGCAGCCAGATCGCCCTCACATCCTAAAGGTCAGCACCAACACTTTGAATTGTGCTCAGAAACATACTGGGAGCCAATGTAGGCTTTTCTTTCTTTCTTTTTTTTAAAATAATGTTTATTAAAAGTTTCAGAATTACAGAAGAAAAAAGAAAAAATAGGAAACAACACTACAATACATAAAAAAGAAGGAAAAAAAAAGCATAAAAACCAATACAACAATACAGCAAAAAGATAAAAAAGAAAAAGACACAAATCCCATGTTACATATCTTTAACTTCCATTTGCTTGTTTCATTGACCTCCTCACACCTCCCTTTTTGTATTCTAGTTTAATTAGTTATTTCAGCAAATTCTTTCCATCTTTCTCAATTTTTATTGAATGATTTGTCTTAACAATTTAACCTATTAATTAACTCAACAAATCCTTTCCATCTTTCCCCATATTTTGTTATTCAAATTGCCTTAATTTATTTAACCTTATCTTACCGTAAAATACCTTAGATCTTGAAACTTAATACTCAATTATACATAACTCCTTATATCATTTCTACTAAAGCCATATAGTTTCATTCCAACATTTTCCCTAGTATTCATTAATTTTAGACTAATTCCCTAAATAAAAATTTTTCTTTATAAATTTTCTTCCAATCTTCATCCAGCGTCTCTTCTTCCTGGTCTCGGGCCATGTCAGTCCTTACTGTCCATTCCATCTAGTCCATCAACCCGGTAATCTTATATCCGAGGCTCTTAAGTCTCTTCCATGTCCCTTCTGCAGATCTTCTTCTTCTTGTTTATACCTGCACTTTTCCTTGTCTTTTGTTGGTCTCTTTCTTAATTTCTTTCCTTTCTCATTGAGGAGTAGGTCTCTGGGAGGTTCCAGCCCAAGATTATCTCCATCTCCCTTCATCAAACCAGCCCACTCCCCACAGTTCCACTCCCCACAGTCATCAATGTAATCCAAAAAATATTTAAGAGCATATTTCAAAGTCCCTCCGAAGTTAAGAACCTCCTCAGCTCCAGACTCCCCCTGGCCCACTCCAACTTCAATCTTCAAAAACAGCGGCTTATGTTCCTGCAGGGCCTCGGATCTCTCCTTTGTAACAGCGGCTTATGTTCCTGCAGGGCCTCGGATCTCTCCATTTGTATTATTTGAGGTGCAACCGCAACCTCCTCCATTATCTTCTGCACTTGCCCAATCAATACAGGTTCCTGAGTTGGTCCCTGAGTGGTTTCTGTATCAATATTCCCTGTTTGTCCACAGTTATTGACCACCACAGTCATCAAATCCGTTTTCTCATTCATCAGATCCATTTTCTCATGCATCTGTTCCAACAAAGCACTTGTCTTGCATAAAGCAAGCACCAAAACTTCCTCCCAGCTCATATTTATTTCAAGGTCAAAAGGACTGGTCCCACGATCTTAATCTCACAGCTGTAGAGCCCTCAAGTAGACTGCAGCAACAATTTAGCAAGCTCCCTCTAGAGGAGACAATTTCTATTTGTATCCATCTTTTTAAAGCAAGTCCAACAAAGAAAAATTACTTTCATTTTTCAGATATTTTGTTTCTTTAGAATGCAAAAGGCAACATTGGAATCAGTTTATTTCTCTTCTTTAGCTATCTGTCAAAGTATTCCATTCACAGTCAGTCAACCTCTCCAACAATTTCTGTCTCTGACACCCCGTTCCCAGGTTAGAGACGGTGGAAACTTATCTTTCTTCACTCCCTCTCCTGCAGGCATTAAACAAAGTCCCCCCCCCTTTTCTCCTGCTTCCAAGGGGGTTTTAGTAGTTATAAATGAAGGAAATTTAGACTTTTTAAACGACTTTCCAGGCTTTAGCTTACAAGGTTTTTGCTTCAGTCTATATACAAAAAGCGGAAGGCGGACTTCCTGTTTTGAACCTTCCCGCTTTGGTGCCAAATTAAGATATTTCTTGATCCAATTTTCCGTTTCTACTCACGGGTACTTGTTTTAAATCCAATTGTCCACAGGAAAAAGTCAGCGCTCTCCGGCAATGGCTGTGCGGCTTCACTCCGTGAAAGTAGCAATCAGTTCGCAGCACCGCGCCGCTCACCCCACTTCACTCCGGAACCCCAAAATGGGGTTCCCTGTGAGTAGGGGAGGCGCTACTGGTGCCCTGCCGAACCCCACGTTCCCAGGCTTCCTCCGCCTGGGATTTCTAGCGGGTCCCCACCTTCGCAGCGGCAGGAAGACCCAGTTTCCACGGAGCCAGCTCCCCCGGTCGGAGGAACTCCGCCATTCGCCGTTGGCGCTAACCCGGAAGCCAATGTAGGCTTTTCAGGACCGGTGTTACATGGTCTTGGTGGCCACTCCCAGTCACCAGTCTAGCTGCCGCATTCTGGATTAGTTGTAGTTTCTGGGTCACCTTCAAAGGTAGCTCTACGTAGAGCGCATTGCAGTAGTCCAAGTGGGAGATAACTAGAGCATGCACCACTCTGGTGAGACAGTCCGTGGGCAGGTAGGATCTCAGCCTGCTTACTAGATGGAGCTGATAAACAGCTGCCCTGGACACAGAATTGACCTGCGCCTCCATGGACAGCTGTGAGTCCAAAATGACTCCCAGGCTGCGCACCTGGTCTTTCAGTAGCACAGTTACCCCATTCAGGACCAGGGAGTCCCCCACACCTGCCCACCCCCTGTCCCCCAACTACAGGACTTCTGTCTTGTTGGGATTCAACCTCAATCTGTTAGCTGCCATGCCAAGGTTGCAGGTTCAGTCCCTGTATGGGGCAGCTGCATATGCAGGGGGTTGGACTAAGTGATCTTTGGGGTCCCTTCCAATGCTGCACTTCAATGACTCTATGAACACTGTTCCCTACTCCGTCTGGTGCAGGCTGAGTAGGCCCCTCCACCACTTAGAGGAGAAGGGCTGGCAGAGGAATGTGTTTGATCTACTTTTCCAGAAGATCAACCCGCTCCTATAGTCCCAGATTTTCTTATAGTTCAGAACTCACCTTCCAGTTTGATTATGCACTCCTGTCAGGATGCTGTCAGCGGCTCCCGTTTGGTTGTCCAGGAAAGTATAAAGACAAGGAAAAGTTTCTTACCATCCTTTTTTTATTTCAGTCTTTACAGAGAGAGGCTATAGAACCCAGCCTCTTGGATAATGGCATTGTCCGAAGTGAATCTCCACCCCACTCTCTCCCACTTCCTCATTTGTCATTCTCATCATCTCCTCTACGGGTGCTGCTACGTGCCCTCTGTCCTCAAGCTCTTTGCATTCCTACCTTTAAGGCTTGCCGGGTTCTGGGAGATGGAGGGTCTGGAATACTTTCTAATGACAACATGTCAGCTGGGTGTTGCTCTGGCTCGCCCATGATTTCCCAACTTTTCCCCTCATCTGCCTCTGAGCTGTGACCTTCCTCAAACCCCTGTTGTAAATCTATACTGTCTTCCTCTTCCTCCTCCCTGGAAGGGTCAGGATGGGGAGGCGGTCTCTACCATTCCTCCTCCTCTGCCCAGGCCCTGACAACTCCTCTGCAATTTGTGACACTGCTTTTTTGTGCAAAAAGTACACACAAAAATAGATATGTTGCATGAAGGGTGGATGCAAAATGTTTATCTGTGATGCATTGAAAAGTGTACATTTTACTTAATGAATGTGTACAATTTAAATGGGAACTTTTTGTGCATTCTGTCCAAACAAATTTGCACAAAATGGGACAAAATGAAGCCATGACTGAAGGTCATGGCTGCATGGTGGAGCATCTGCTTTGCATCCATAAGATCCCAGGTTCCATTGCCAACATCTCCCGGTACGGCTGGGAGAGACCCCTCTCCGAAATCCTGGAGAGTTTCTGCCTGTCATTGTAGACAACACAGAGCTAGATCAACCAATGGTCTGACTCAGTAAAAGGTAGTTCCCCGTATTCCTATGTCCCCGTCTGTCATCCATACAAAGCTACATTTACATTTTAGCAGTGCAAGTTTGCTTACAATTGCAAGAAGGTGGGTTTCAATTGCATTAAAAACTTGCAGCATAATCTCCCAAAAAGATATAAATGGTCTTAAAGAAAATAACAAAGAGCACCAAAGATGTATGTGTTGTTTTGCTAAGCAACAAGACAGTGTCACTCTTTAATTTATGAAATGACAAAGGAATCTGGTATTTGGTTTTCTGTTAACATTGTATGTTGAAAGGCCTTCTCATCCATTCCAAAGTTTGAGGGACAAGACACACCTTTTTTAATTGTCTTGGCTTTGAAAAGAATGATTTTCAGGGGAGGAGAATTATTGGCTCTCATTGGCTGTCGGAAATCCTCGCCTCTCCGACCTGTTTGAAGATATGATTTGCTGCACACAGAGAGTGAATGCAGAGCCCGGAACAACAATACCCTCGTGGAAAGAGTCAGACCCAGCTGGGGAGATTGCAAATCTCAGCTTGTTACAGGAGGCCTTAAGACGATTGTCTGCCTTTATAAGTGTGTGTGGGAAAACAAACATGGCTTAATTATTCTCAGATTAGCATGCTTCTCCAATGAATTTGATAGCAGCTGCTGAAATTCATTGAGATGTCTCCCTGGAGAAGAACAAGTCTTTTCATGAAAGATGTCGGCGGAAGAACACAGTGCGCCAATCAACTTTGGTTTGTCTTTGCGGAAACCAGTTAAGGTCAAGGAGTTTGTACTTCTATTAAACTGAAAAGCCAGCCTTGAGAAATAGGTGGTGTAGCCAGAGCTCTCAGGCAGGCTGAAATCAGACTTGTGAGACCAAAGAAGGCTTTTCTTTGCCAGAAGACACTTCCATTCAGTGAGCTTTCACCACAATTGTTCAGGATGAAAAGTAACTGATTATCCTGACTATGTTCATTAATGGATAGAATAATTTGAGGTTTCATTATGCAGGATGGGTTATGGTTGAGCACCTTATGCTGGGGAGGTTTGCTGTCTTGATGGCATGTGGGAACATTGTGCTGCTGTTGTACAGTGCATGCAGAGAGTTCTTGGGTGGAATGGAGGGCTTTGTCTGTATGCAACAGGTGGCCTGTGACTCCATTTGGCTAAAAAGAATGGATTTCTGTTCAGAGAAATGGCACTTGCAACTCTGTAACTCTTCAGTATTGTTTTCTTTCTTGGTGTGATAGTAGCTTAGTGGTAGAGCACATGCTTTGCATGCAAAAGCTCCCAGGTTTAATCTCCAAGTGGAGCTGGAAAAGACTCATCAGTCTGTGTTGATGATGTTGACCTAGATGGATAGCTGGTCTGACTCACTATAACTCCCTATGTTCCTGTGGTGTGCACAGAGGACAGATAGCTAACATGTTGCACTCCCAGAATTGCTGAGCTCCAACCGCCCTAGCCAGCATGACCAATGGCCAGGAATGATGGGAGCTGTAATCCAACAACTATCTGGTAGGTACCACATTGGCTACCTCAGCTTAGAGACTGGGAGAATGGCCTTCAGTGGGTGGGTGTTTCCTCTAGCCCATGCTATTTCAAACTTGGGTCCCCAGATGTTGTTGGACTACAATGCCCATCATCCCTAGCTACCAGGACCAATGGTCAGAGATAATGGGAGTTGTAATCCAATAACATTTGGAGACCCAAGTTTGAGAAAGGCTGCTCTAGCCCCGTGGAAACCTACAACATAGCATCACTCCATATGATATTCTTGGTAAAAATGAATGGCTGCCCCAAATGACCAGTCATGACATAGCATCATTCCCACAGGGTCATTCTCAATGAGGAATGCCGCTGGGCTTCCCTACTGTTGCACTGTCTTCACTTTAAGTGGCAGCAAAGCTTTTAAACTATCATCAACTCAAATAGGCATTTACTTACTAAATTTGGAATTTATTGGAAGCAGGAAGTCCTGTTAATTCATTACAGCAAGGCCGAAGCGGTTGTGTTTGCCAAGAAGCATGAGCAATGTAAACCGGCTCTGGCTGTTCACAGGATTGAACAGTGCCATCCATTCAAACATTTCGGGCTCTATTTCTCTGAAAATAACTTATGGCATACCCACATGGAGGCAATTTCAGCCTCAGCAGCCTGCTCACTGTAGTCTATAATGAAGCTCACCTTTACTGAGGGCCATCATTTGTTAGAAGCACCATTGTGTCCCATCATTTTTATGGTGCAGCAATTTGGGGGGTAGCCATTGCAGAGATTTAACTTCTACATAATTAAAAGTGAGGTCTTGCACATGGTCTTGGCAGTATCACACAGCACACCTGGCACATTATTAAGGATTTTCTTCTATAAAAGCACACATGCATAAATCCATCATATTGCACTGGGGAAAGCCATCTTTGATGTCAGATCAACATTTAACAATATTGTGCTTTTAGATGTACAGAATAGTAAAATAAAAAGAAGGACTTCAACCCTCTGCCACCTCATATCTTATCATGGAAAACCATTCATCCCAATATGTGAATTTCTCCCAACCCTCCAAAAGCTCAGTGGGTGGGCATGCCAACCCATTGGGACAGCTCTGTTCCTACCATGCAGTTCTGACCCCCCCTGCCTTGACCCCCCCACCTTGATCTTAGACTCCTTAAACTTGGACTGCTGGTTTCACCTTACCTAACTAGCCTGAGCGTAATTATGGATGCTGTGGCTCATTAACTGATGTTGAATATGAGTCTCTTATCTTCCATAATAAAAACATCTTCCTTACTCTCTATCAAAAACAAAACAAAAGACAAAACAAAAGTCTCCCCAAAGTCCCTGACCCTTTAATGTGAAACTAATGGCCCCATGAAAGGAGTGATTTTCAGCTAGCAATATCCAAAGCAGAACACCTGGTAGGGAAGGAAATGGACCCTTTGCATGCCCATTTTCCATCCCAAGGTCTTAAAAGCTCACCTGTAGATTGCAGCTCTGCTTTGAGGGACACCATTTCCATTCATTAATGTAATACACTTGCTAATGAACTACCATTTAGGTTTTAATGGGCCATAAATCAGAATGATCCCATGAAATGACAAGGGCATTGGACCTCGTTATTCAAAGTGTCTCCCCTGGGACAACAGTCTGCTGGGTCAGTGACTTAGCATAGGGCAGTTGCAACTGCTCTTGAAAGAAAAATAAAATTAATAATTATAGTTTTGTTTTTGGCATTTGGGAAGCCTTATCCTAATGAGGGGGGAAATCAAAGGGGGAGATCTATAGAGTTAATGTTAAATACAAGTTGAGGTGGGGATGGAATTACGGTGAGATGGTAGGACTGGAGGCATCAACAATAATACCGATTATCTGGAAACCTTCATAGGTTCCGTATGTTATAAACTGGCTAACTTGGTTAGAATTGACAGCAGAGGGCCGGTTAACAATTTTGAGATTAATTAGTCCCTTTTTCTTTTTTAAAAATAAGCAGGCATAGAAGATGCTATTAAGAAATGTCTTAGATTTATTTTCAGTCTTCTAAGTATTGGTTACTTATTGTAATTGCAATGCTTGGTTTCTTGAATTGCCCATTACAGTGCTACCTCGGGTTACAGATGCTTCGGGTTACAAACTCTGCTAACCAGGAAGTGGTTGCTCCAGGTTAAGAACTTTGCCCCAGGATAAGAACGGAAATTGCGTGCTAGCAGCGCAGCGGCAGCGGGAGGCCCCATTAGCTAAAGTGGTACTTCAGGTTAATAACCGTTTCAGGTTAAGAACGGACCTCTGGAACGAATTACTGTATTTTTTGCTCTATAGGACACACCTGACCATAGGACGCACCTTGTTTTAGAGGGGGAGAACAAGAAAAAAAAATCCCCCCCCCCGCTCAGCGCCCCTTCAGCGAAGCGGCAGGAGAAACGGAGCCCCTTCCATTTCTCCTCCCGCTTGGCTGAAGGGGCACCGCACAGCTCTCCCTCTCTGCTGAAGCCAGGAGAGTCTTGCTCTCCCGGCTTCAGCAAAAGGAACCCGAAGCCTGCGGAGCGCAGCGGGAACTCGTGCTGCGCTCCAAAGGCTTCAGGAGGCTATCCCTGAAGCCTGGAGAGTGAGAGGGGTTGGTGCACACTGACGCCTCTCGCTCTCCAGGCTTCAGAGAAAGCAACCCGAAGCTCCGGAGCGCAGCGGGAACTCGTGCTGCGCTCCAAAGGCTTCAGGAGGCTATCCCTGAAGCCTGGAGAGCGAGAGGGGTTGGTGCACACTGACCCCTCTCGCTCTCCAGGCTTCAGGGAAAGCAACCCGAAGCCTCCGGAGCACGGAGGAAGCGCTCCCTCTGCGCTTCGGAGGCTTCGTGTTGCTATCGCTGAAGCCAAGGAACCTGCATTCGCTCCATAGGACGCACACACATTTCCCCTTAATTTTTGGAGGGGAAAAAGTGCAACCTATAGAGCGAAAAATACGGTAAGTACTTAACCAGAGGTACCACTACTGTGCAATGGGTTGGATTGAAATATTCTCTTCCTCCCAAGGAAGGATTTTTCTTCCAACCTGTCCTGACTCCCACTTCAAACACTAGAGCTGGGCAATACTTTGATAAATTATCTGAAACCAGTATGTGATTCAGATCGTGTGACCAGTTTCAGACGTTTTGAGTTGGCAATACATCTCAGTTCCCCAGCCACCGCCAGCGTAATGCACCTCACTCCTGCCTGCCTGCCTGCCTGCGCTATGCTGGCAGTGGCCAGGGAACTGAGATGTATCGCCCTCTTAAATTGCTTGCAGATGGCAAAAGGGCAGGCAGGCAGATGGAGCCCAAGAAGGTGCTTGCCCGGAACCATCAGGCTCCATTCACCTGCCTGTCTTTGTCTCCACCCTCACTTGGGCAGGCAGGCTGCCTCTTCCTACTGTTTGGTCACTCCTGGAGGAAAGAGGAAAGAGGCAGCCAACCCACTCAGGCAAAAGCAGATGCGAAGGCAGGTGCATGGAGCCTGAGAGGGACAAGCACCTTCTCAGGCTCTCTCTGCCTGCGTGCATGTGCCTCTGAGGAACTTGCTTGAACCGAAGCGGTATGGGGGCTTGCTCCGCTGTAGGGTTGGGCAATATATGGCAGGCACTGGTACCTTGGGGGAGAGGACTGATTGGTACCACAGCAGGAAGAAGAAACCAGCTAAGCAGGTGGAAGAGAGGAAGGTGATTCCTTTGAAATTCACACTTTGCTGAATTTTGCAAAGGAGTTCTCCAGCAGAGTAATGTGCACAAAGTTGTGTATACTGGAGGGTGAGATGTGCACAAGTTAGTGAAAATAACGTATCAAAGTGTGTTAGGGAAATTCTTTACAAAAAAGCATAAATTAGGTGAAGCTGCTGCTGATAATATTATGGATTATTCAGCTCAGAATAAACAGAACCATTTCTCATGTTTTGTAGGAAAAAATTTGGTTTCCCTGGTGTAATTCTGACCTGATTAAGGATTTTGTCCCATTCCTACTTTGGATTTGTGTTTTGATGATTGATGCTGAGAAATGTCACCCTCGCTGTGGCCATCCAAGTGGTGTGTTTTTTTAAAAATGTTGCATGTAAAACTCACCCCCCCATTTATTTATCTAGGCAATTTCTTAGAAGAAATGTTCCTTGGGTGGTCTTTTCATGAACATAAGGGGTAACCAAAAAGTGGGAGCTTTCCCTGCAATTCCATTTCTCACAGGATGACCTCAGTTTTGATTTGTTTTCATTCCATTTAAGGCTTTAATTATAATGTTTCCAACCCAAAATAAAGCTGCTGAATGATGTATTCCTTTTTGCTCTGTATTGGAGGTGGGACAAGGGAGGAGGCCTTAATTTCAGCAAATAGATAGCTAGATTGATTGATATCCCACTGCATTAAAAAATAAGTGGTTAGTTTTTCAAGTACTTAATATACAGTACGTTTTATTCTGTAATTTGATTTTTTTTGGGGGGGAAGACCAGCATGTCTTTACTAGGTTAGTACATTAGTTAGCAGGGGGAGAACCTCCTCTCCCCTCTCCATTCATTCCATTGCAAGATTGGACTAGATGATCCCTGGGGTTCCTTTCAACTGCACAGTTCTGTGATTTGTCATTACTTAACTCAGGTCAGGTCAAGATATTTCATAGAATCATAGACTTGTAGAGTTGGAAGGGACCACAAAGGTCATCTAGTCCAACCCCTGCAATGCAGGAATCTCAGCTAAAGCATCCAGGACCATGAATGTCAAAAACTCTCTACCCTCCACCCCCACCTGGCCACAGAGCTCCCCCTTTTTTTAAGAAAAAGAAAGGTGATTAGAAGCTTAATTAAAGTTTGGGAGTGCTTAGAGATTCTGGGAAGGTTCTGTAATTACCGTATTTTTCGCCCTATAGGACACACTTTTCCCCCTCCAAAAATGAAGGGGAAATCTGGGTGCGTCCTATGGGGCGAATGCAGGCTTTCATTGAAGCTTGGAGAGCGAGAGGGGTCGGTGCGCACCCTGAAGGAAGACATCCGCAGTCTAGGCAGCCCTGCGGGAGGTCCTGCAGGGCTGTCTAGGCTGCAGATAGCAGCCTGCTTCCCGGAGCGCCGGGCGCGCTGAAAGCAGAGCGCCCGGCGCTTCGGGAACACATCCGCAGCCTAGGCAACCCTGCGGGAGGTCCCGCAGGGCTGTCTAGGCTGTGGATAGCAGCCTGCTTCCCACAGCGCCGGGCGCGCTGAAAGCAGAGCGCCTGGCGCTTCGGGAACACATCCGCAACCTAGGCAACCCTGCGGGAGTTCCCGCAGGGCTGTCTAGGCTGCGGATAGCAGCCTGCCGCCCGGAGCGAGGGGCGCCCTGAAGCAGAGCGCCCCGCGCGCCGGACAGACATCCGCAGCGTGGGGAGCCCTGCAGGAGTTCCCCGCAGGGCTCCCCACCCTGCGGATAGCAGCCTGCCGCCCGGTGCGAGGGGCGCCCTGAAGCAGAGCGCCCCTCGCGCCGGGCAGACATCGGCCAGCCCCGCAAGCTCGGGGGACAGCAGGGAGGCGCAGCGCCGCCATCCTGCTGTTCCTCGACCTGGTTCGGTTTCCCTGACCTGGTTTTGGGGGGGAAATAAAGGGGAAAAAAAATTCCTTTATTTCTCCCCCAAAAAACTAGGTGCATCCTATGGGACGGAGCGTCCTATGGGACGAAAAATACGGTAACCATTGGCAATAACAGCAAAAGCCTATGTGGGAGGGGGATTGGCTCTCCACAGGCTTCCATGCATTAATTCATACTCGGAACCAAACAACTATTTTAGATGGACAACATTCAATGATGTCTGCTTGCCTGTGCAAGAATCATAGACTCATAGAATTGTAGAGTTGCAAGTAACCCCAAGGGTCATCTAGTCCAACCCCATGCAAAGCAGGAATTTCACCCATGACAGATGGCCATCCAACCTCTGCTTAAAAACCTCCAAGGAAGGAGAGTCCACATCCTCCCAAAGGAGACTGTTCCACTATCAAACAGCTCTTTCTGTCAGAAAGTTATTTCCTTTTGTTGAGTCGGAATCTCCTTTCTTGTAACTTGAAGCCATTGGTTCCAGTCCTCCCCTCCGGAGCAGCAGAAAACAAGCTTGTTCCCTCCTCCATGTGACAGCCCTTCAGATATTTGAAGATGGGTATCGTATCTCCTCTCAGTCTCCTCTTTTCCAGGCTAAACATACCCAGTTCCTTCAACCGCTCCTCCTAAGGCTTAGTTTCCAGACCCTTGATCCTCTTGGTCTCCCTCCTCGGCACAAGTTTCAGCTTGTCAACATCCTTCTTAAATTGTGGAGCCGAGAAATGGACACAGTATTCCAGGTGTGGTCTGCCCAAGGCAGAAGAGAGTGGGACTATTACTTCCTTTGACCTGGACACTAAATTTCTGTGGATGCAGTCTTAGTTTTTTTTTTGCTGCGGCATCACACTATTGACCCATGCTAAGCTTGTGGTCCACTAAGACGCCTAGATCCTTTTCATACGTACTTCTAGTAATCCAGGTGTCCTCCATCTTATATTTGTGCATCTGGTTCTTCCTGCCTAAGTGCAGAACTTTACATTTGCCCCTACTGAAATTCATTTTGTTAGCTTGGGCTCAGTTCTCCAATCTGTTAAGGTCATTTTGAATCCCGATTCTGTCTTTTGAGGCATTAGCTACCCCTCTCAGGTTGGTTTCATCCGCAAATTGGATGAGCAGCCTCTCAATCC